GACGTCTGTAAGAGTTAACGGCATTGTTTTCGTGTGAAAACGTTTATTAATTGCCAAACTTCATCAATCAAATGATAAAAAACACTGTTTACAACAACAGGCTCCTTTATTGTTTTATTTAAGAAAATATCGTACTTGGCCAGTTTCTGTTATTGTGTTAAATTAAATTAAATTCTGTGTTTAATTGTCTTCTTTTTTTTGCTAATTTGTACATCATGTGTCAATAGTGAACGGTTATTTAATAAAATAACGATCACTAGTTAAATTAATGATTTTTAAAGTGGTTTTGCGAAACTTTTCAGGGTGGCCGGTTTTTTTTTGCCGGTCAGTGTATTTTAATGTTTTTTTATTTTATTTAAAAATGCTTTTTTCAAAAATATTAAATTTGTCCCCTCGTGATATTTAAAAAAAAATAGTTGGCCTTGTATCTCCAAAACAAATTTTGATGGAAATTTCAGTAACATTTTATCGGATTGGGTTTAAATACTTTTACCCGCGTACAAAATTTTACTGAGTTCTGATAAACCGCTCTGCAAATATTTAACTGTATCCATACTTTTTAGTGAAAATAAACTAAAAATCATTTGCTTCATTTTTCTTAATTATGCAACTATTTTACCTTGCCGTAATTAACCACTCTAGATCTATTCAGTCAAATTAAAAAGTATTTGCATTTAAGTTTGCTTGTTTGATTTTTTAATACCAAAGTACTAGAAAATTATGTACATCAATTTATTATCGAAAAACTGTTGCAAAAACCGTACAATAATTATGAAAACCTCAATTTTGTCCTCCTAATGGCTGAATGCAACAATATTGGCCAAACAGTTAAAACTTTTATTAATAAAACCTGACATTTTGAAAGATAAATCAATTATTAAGCTAGTAATGTAATCATCAAGTTTATATTGCAACGCAACAGGATTCTTTCGTGTAGAGTTCTGGAATATGTTCCTGTTTTGCACTTAAAACAGTTCTTCTGCAAGTTATTTCAGTTTCAGGAATCCTGAACTTTGTGGATGATTCTTTCTAGACGTGCACATAAAAGAAGATTCGTTTTGTAAAAAAGCCAACTTTATTACTTTTCAGTTTTAATTTTGACGCATAATTGAAAGTTCGAATTCAAGACGGTGTGGAGGCAGTCGATTTATGGGTACTGCAAAACTAGTTGATAATGTATTCAATATTCATAAAAAGAAAAACCGGCTAACAAAATCATCAGGAAAGCTAATACAAACAGATAACTAACATAAAAGACGCTAATAATTATCGTAAAGTTTTGATATTATCAGCAGAGAGAATTTGATGACGTGATTCACAAAATTTTGCGTAGTAAATGCTATTTAAGTTTTATAAAATAACGTACCGCTATACTTGTGGTTTATGAATCCATCTTGACAATTTACCTTAGGTATCTAGATTTTTGCAGCAAGTCAAAATTATATAATAACTGGTTTTCTTTACACTATGACTGGTATTGTCTAATTTGTTTCTAAAAAACTTAGCAAAGAAAAAAATATTTGTATTTATACGAGCTGTACCACTTTGTGTGTAGAAAATATTATATTGCGGCTTAATATTATGTTATTTCAGGCGTATACAAAGCAAGATAATATTTACCATATGTTTCTTGTCACTGAAAATGGAGACAAATTTGTCAAATATCTCATACACTTTGCCATAAAAGAATAAATACGTTTGATTAATTTCAGTGACTTCTTCTAACCCCAGCTAGTCTGATTTATAAAGTGCATTACCTACCGCAGGAGAATTTGTCTTTATATATTATGTACGAGTATCTATCTCAAATAAAATTTGGTCGTTTTACAGTGTCCAAAATTTCTCAGATATTAACTGACGATGCATTTTTGAAGATTATTAGATTGGTGTAGCGTTCACTGACACAAAAAAATTGACAAAACCAAAATGAAGTCATTCAATTTTAGTACAGATTTTTTGCATTTTCTGTGCAAGTTAGAGTCTTCCAAAACCGACTGAATTTGTTTCATGAGCACTTTTTTGCTCCTACCAACAGAAGAGTTTGCTGATTATTTGTTTTTTTACACACCACCATAGGAAAATGTAAGATTCCCTTTTCTGCATGTTTGGAGCATTGTTAGTCGACCCAGATAATTCACTACAGGAGTGAGAGTAGCTTAAAATTTAGGCGCAGTTTAAATGTATTACGAACATGCCAAAAGATTAAATATAACTGTTTATTTATGTTGGTAAGCAAATCTCACTTGTTCACCTGTTGCATGCTCTTCTATTCAGCGGGTTTACTTTTAAACATAAACAATATTTTGATATTTGATGTTCAATTTATTTTTCATAAATCTTAAATGAGTTTAGTTTTCTCTCCGTCTATAAATTTTTCAACATTTTCAAGGATATTCTTAGTTTATATGTCACTATGGCAAACTGTGTAAAATTTTACTAATTTCAATAATTCTCCGGAATATTTTTTAATAATTATTGTGTACTACAAATAGATTCATGGGGCATGGAATAAATTTATTTAATTTGTATAAATACTTTATGTTGATTACATAAAATATTGCAAACTGTTATAACTTTCAACTCATCAAGCTAAATTTATTATTAAAATATCGAGTTTAATTTTGAATATTATCAATATCAATAATAAATATGTATAAGTAGAAAAGCGCATTCAAGTTTTACATTTTTTAATAACACTAATTTTATGTTGTATATGTAGTCTGTGAATAAATCTATGAACAGTGTGTATACAATCTTATTTTTAATATTATTTTTAAAGACATCAAAGTAATACATTCTATATAGATATATTCTATACATTGTTGTACGCGTATTACAATACCATCAAATTTTAGCTACATATTTCTTAAATGAGAATTTTATTATTGTTGTTGTACTTAAACAATATAAAGTACGGGAAGAAATCCTCCAATATTTTTTACGAACATTGAAAATGATAAGGACTTCACTAGATCGCAACCAAATAATATCGGATGCAGTGCGGATTGAATCTGTACATGGCAACAATGGGAGCAATTGAAAATATCCGGTTAGTGGTCTCTTATGATTGACTATTGATTGTTAAGACAAGTTTAAACATATTTGTTCGTTTCCTGAAAGAAATTTTTGTCTTTCAATAACATTGGCATTAATATGTAGAAAATATTTTCGTATTAAAGTTTAGAAAATTCGTATTTGCGACTCTTTGACTTTTTTTTTAAAATTTTGTTACCCACATAAAAAATATTGTACATAGTAGTGCATGAAACAGTATTTATTTAATAACGATTACACGATTAGCGTATGTTTTCAAGAAATTCAGTCGACACTTTCAGTATAGGAATGGGTATCGATTCGTCAACATTGTGTTTACGTTAATATACAGGGTCATCATAAATGATTGTAGTCAACTTGGCTTTGAAAACAAATGAATTTTTTGCTGTTGCCGCTTCATAATACGGTTCGAAGTAATTCGAACTATTAATTAAATGTCATGCTCTGTTTGAGGTTATTTTCAAAAATAAATAAAACATTCTTTAAGTGTTTAGGCCTAAGTGCATGGCTTTCACTTCACACTTAGAAGTGTTACGTAAATTCATTTGTGTCCGTGCCCCCGTGCCTCGTGTGTTCGTGCAGTTTATAAAAAAAATATGGAACAACAAAATGCCGAATAACCAGTTGTACACCGGAGGAGGTTTTAATTATGGATTAAGTTTATGAATATGAATCCAAAGCTACCATAGAAAATAAAAAGGACGATGTCATTTACTGGTGCGACAAAAATTCTGAAAAAAAGTGGTACGAGAACAAGAAAAATGAAGACCGGAAAACAGCCGCAGACGAAGAGGCCGAAAGAAGAAAGATTGGCAAAGGACCACGTCCAGTATTTGAAACAATAGATCCTTGTTTTGGTTAAGTTACGGACATCACAAATCAAAACACTTGTGGAGACTGGAGACGTACATTTCACATCGTGGGGACGAAAATGAAAGCATCAAACCAACAAATAGCCAAGATTGTGCAGAGGAAATCCTGTGTGTTTAGGTACAAGATGACATCACAGTCTTGGTTCCAGTGTTGAACAGAAAAGCATAGTTGAACAGGATGGTAGTCAGTGTTCTGTGGTCATGATTTACCAACAACCTCAAAAGAAGTAAGTATGCATTTCATTGTTATCTATAAAAAATGTACTGTTTATTTTCAGGACCACTGGCGTGTTACATGCCAAATAATTTTAAAAAGCTAATAGATCAGTAACTTCACAGTTCCCACTAAAAATTGGTTCAGTGGAAGAAGAGCAAAGGTTATGGAGACTGTTCATGGGAACATAATTTCACAGCAGTGGCAGGGTTATGAAGTGGCAAAATTAAAAAAGCAATATTTCGGGCAGGAGTTGTTAACTACAAAATAACGAACGAGAAATTGAAGAATTTAATTTTAGGAAAAGGGTTTTAAAACCAGACCTTGAATTAAGCGTACTTACTTCAAAGTAAAACATTAAAGAGTCCATTTTCAATTAAATGATGCTCATTTTTAACGTAATGTTAACAATAACATAAGATATTGTTAGTTTATAAATACATTTTTAGTATGTTGAAAAAGGACTCTTTTCAATTAAATGATGCTCATTTTTAATGTAATGTTAACAATAACATGAGATATTGTTAGTTTATAAATAAATTTTAATATGTTTTTCACTATAAATGAAATCAACAAAAAAATTATTTTATTACCAATAAATTTTTACTGTCAAATATTACAATCTGTTTTAAAATGTTGTGTAAAACAACAGCGACAATCAACTGTTAACACAGGAAACTGTCGTTTCAGAATCCCAAAAGTGCATCCAATTCTATTGCGGCTTCCAATATGTGACTGATAATAGAGCTGTTGTACTGGAATAACGGGATATATCAGTAGTGTCAACAAGTATTTTTTTAAGGGATAACTTTTGTTACTTAGAAATATAATAAAATTCTCTTAAAATATTCTATCCAAGAGCACACAACTTTGTAGTTGTGCATTTTCAAACAGATATTAAACTGAACAATGATTAAAAATAGTACTATCATGTGTAGCTACTGATCATTGTGCCACAATATTTGAAATTTAATCCTTTCATCACATATGGCTTGTACATTAATGAAGATATAATCTTCCTGATTTCTAAAAATTTCTGGATCTTCTCCACCTAAAACTTTTACTATTTCATTTTTTGTGTTCTATGTTAACAAAAATTCATATACCTGGTAATTTAATTTTTATATGTGCAAATGCAGTCCAAGGCGCCAATGAAGTCTGGAAAACGAGCTAGATGAACAACAATCTTTCACATTTGCTTGCTCGTCTACAATTTGAGGCATCACAAAATTTTTTTGGTACAGTATAATCACTGCTCTGGGTACTCAAGGAATTATTCTCACCACTATTGTTTGATGAATGTCCATAAAATCCATAGTACAGTCTAAGTGCGCTCTACCAACGAAATATCATAAACCAATTAAGAGTTAGTTCATTGAAGAGAAACTTTGACTGCTGGAAGTGAAATATTTATCTCTGATTACTGACGTAAGTTCTACACTTACATATCTACAGAAAATTCTAGATGATGTTCTAGCAAAGGTGAAATACACATCACTGTTTCTTTGGTCATCTGAAACTTTTTAAAACCTGTGCAATCACTCATACTGTGAAAATGATCAGCTCTTAATTAGGTTACTCCATGAACATCAAAGCATTCAAATTCTTCCATTTCATCAAATACTTCATTATTCATTATTAAATCATTGTCAACTAGAATTAAGCAGAACCTAATACTTTGTCGCTATATAATTTATATCACTCACCTAAAGCTAATTACTTTCAATTATAAAAGATGCTGGAAATGTTCCCCGTTTTGCTGTAAACATAAAGCTACCCTTCTTTTTTTGTTTTCAAAAATGTTTTGTAACATCACTACATCAATATTTTGACAACAATGTATAATTGCATCCATTAGTTCTTCCAAAGTATGTAATCGATGTTTGTATATGTTATCTTTCATCCATCCAAATATTGAATAATCAAGTGGAGTCAAATCAGGTGAACGAGCAGGCCACTCTGGATTAAGATTTTGACTTATTATGCGATCCCCATAAAATTCTTGCAAGTATCTTAAATTTTCCATTGTTTTATGGGCTGGGGCTCCGTCTTGTTGGAAGTAACCAAATTGCAATTCCTCATCATCCAAGTGGTTTAGAAACACCTCTAATATTTGCTCCCTATACCTTGCGGAATTAATTGTGTTGTGAAAGAATATTGGCCCAATCACTCTTCTACGCGAAACCGCTAACCACACGCCAACTTTAACAGAGTGTAAAGGTCTTTCTTCAAAAACAAAAGGATTTTCAGCACTCCAAACTCTATAATTTTGCGAATTAACGTAGCCATTTAGATGAAACCATGCTTCATCGGAAAAAAATGACAAATCCAAAATTCTGTTGTTGTTCATGTTGTTTTGAAACCATTCACAATATGCAACACGACGAGGATAATCAGCTGGTTTAAGTTCATGGATTGACGATACTTTATAGGGATGCATATGTAACGTTCTTTTTAAAACTTTCTGACAAGTGGTGTATGGGACACCAGATTGCAAAGACAGTTTACTCAAAGATTTTTTTGGGCTTTGCTCCATTCTTTCCCTCAAATCTTCGACCACCTCTTCACTAACTGGAGGCCTTCCTGGTGACTTGCCTTTAGAAACATTTCCAGTGCTGTTGAATCGGTCAACGATTCTTTTTATGTGTGTCATTAAAGATTGTTTCTCAATGTTTAATTCTGGAAATTTTGCCAAATACTCATCCTTGCAAGCTTGAACAGAATACACCCATTCCCCGTCCGCATTTAACGTCCCATTTCGATAGTAAGACATAACAATAAACGTATTTTGTTCAAGAGTGTACCCCATCTTAACCTAAAACAGATTTATTTGAAATATGAATACACATTAATTCATTTCTAGTTACCTTAATCGCTGTTATCAAATCGTTGTAGTTTTGATAAAAACTGGTTTAATTCAATTTAATTTATAACAAAGAAGACTGGAACAACAACACAAGTAAACAAGACGTGCGCGGGAAAGTATTATGACATATGACCAGTATGACATTCTTCTGACAGCAAAGCAAAACAAAAATTCCCCATAACTTTAGTGGACTATAATTAATAATTTTTTTTTAGTAAGAAGCGGCACATCAAAACAATTGCGTCAGCGCCTACTTCGACTACAATCATTTATGATAACCCTGTAGTTAGAAACAAAGCAACAGTTAGGAAAAGAACGGAAGAAAAACAGTTTACTATAAGCAGTTTAAGCAAATACAACACTGTTTTTCCGTATTATCAAGTGAAACTAATTGACCATATTTGAACGATTTACAAAAATGTAATCTTGTGCCTCTACATTCACGTTTATGTCTCAGGCACTAACTCCTTTACGATTCTTGAAAGAAAGAAACGTTGTGACTAAAATTACATTGTTCGCATCAAAGTTAAGGCATTCATCCACAACATAATGTTGATGACGTGATTTTAAGGAATTAGTAAACAAGTTTAAATAAAAAAATACGCGTTGGCTTAGCATCAGAGATGAAAAAAGTTAGGTGTTAAGCGTTTAATTACTGGCTCAGTATATTTGTTTTACGCTTACAATATGGTATTTTTTTCGCTCAAAAAGCAAATTACTTTTTTAATTGTTAAAATTAATGGCAACCAATTGTATTTATTTGGTTTTTTGGCAGTTTGTTAATATAAAAACCTAATTTTATTATCGCTTCCATACCCTGGACGCATAAATTACTATCTTTTCAACATAGTGCCCTTACAAAGCTATACACTTGTTACACCGATCCTGCAACTTTGCTAACCCTCTCAAAATAAATGATTCTTCCTGCTCTTCAAACCAAATCTTAACAACCTCTATTATCTCATCGTTTGAAGAAAATTTATGGTCTTTTAAGTTTTGTTTTAATTAATTTAATTTCCCCTTCTGAAAAAAGCAACTTAATTTTTTACAATCGCGTAAGAAACACAAACTTCACCAAGTGTTTTAGATGTATCATCGTAAATTTCTTTAATCCCTGTAAACACAGTTATTTAATAGTCGATCTATATTCAATTTGTTTCACATTTTCACTAGACATGACTTTTTCAAAATTTTGGTGCACAGCAATGATTAAACTTTTCAGAGTCAAATTTGACAGTGACATTTCTAATAAGTTGTTGCTTATTACCATGGTAATAAAAAATCTGTTTTGTGCTGTGGAAAGTGCTTAGGCTAACAATTTATCAAATCACCCTCGTATGCAGAAAAAAATGTTGCACAAATTTGCTTCCATAGTATATGTCGTTTTTAGTTAACAAATCTTGTAAGCTCATTTTTTTAGAAAAAAAAATTAGTTGATAACTATCATAATCAATACAAAAAAAAATATATATATACCAAGATATTGTGGAAGCGGATGAAAGACCAGGTTTATCACAAAAGTTCAGGGGGCGCAGTCCGCACAGATATGGACAACATGAAGTATATTTAAAACAGATAACCAACGAGAAACATACATATATTATCAGTACACGGTTAACTTACGCTTTAAGTTCACACATCGAAAGATTATAGCAGCTATTAAGGACGTACATATGCTGGGTGACCAGAAAAATAAGCGGTGGCAGATAAAGAGCATGCATTTGTCTTTAAAAAGAAATGCAATTTCATTGATTTTGTCTCTTCAAAACAGGGAAAATGAATGATAATCTGAATATTATTTTAGGTAGGTAGTTGTTATTATGGTAATTATTTTATTTTTGTTAAAAATAGCAGTGCACAACATTTTTGAATTCTGAAATTTTCGAGACAATGTCAAATGGGGTGAATCGTTCTTGATTTGACTAATCAAAAAAAAAGAAATGGAAATGCTGGATCGAGCGCAAAGCGGAGCTTTTCAGATGGAAGTAACACAATTTTACCAGACACATTTGCTCGGGTTCGTGTGTGAGAAGAATTAAACAAAAAAATTGGTCGAAGTTTGTTTCGACAGCACTTCTCATACCCCCGAAGTTCAATGCAACCTGAAAATTTTCGGAAATTTATAAAATTTGATTTTGCGAATTTTATTTTTATGAGAACCCCTATAAGCTGTAATAAACATATATATGTATGTAATGTTAAAGTTAATATAAAGAAGCGTGATATCTTAGGAAATTTTGTCATGACGTCATCAACATTCTACAAGGATTCGTATATCAATTTGGGTTCCTGTAGTATAATAATAATAGTATTGTATTTCCAATTGGAGTAAGTCGTTCCTGATTTAATCAATAAAATAAATTGACACATTCATTAATTTTTTGGGCGACCTGTATAAACAAATCTAAAAAATATATATGAATGCAAATAATAAATCACAATTAAAAACTCGGACATATTTTTCACATTTTAGGTAGGATTTAAGTATTAGTCAAAATTTTGAGATCAAGCTATCAACTTTTTGGAGGGAATAAACAGATATTTCGATTAAAAATTTGCTATGCTTACAATAACTTTAAAATATCTGCAAGATTTCAAAGCATTTCGTTTGGCAGATTTAAAATTAAATTGCAAAATGTTGTTATAAGTTGGTAAAATTAATTTTTTTTTTTTTTCAAAAAATTTGGACGTTCCGGGTAAACATTCAATGCGGATTCGTAAACTACACGTGTAGGAGTATGTTATTTTTAACAATTAAAAACCCATTAACTTTGTACAATTTTTAAATTAGGTCATAACATTATTGGTGGAGATGATTAGACAAAGTTTGGTTAGCCTTTTAGCTCTACATGATATTCATAATACACATATAAAATGTGACAACAATCGGTTCGGTAGTTTCGGAGATTATCTGTCTAACAAAAATCGACACAGACGGAAGACAGGCAGATAGACAGACAGACAGACAGACAGACAGACAGAAACGGGAAATCCATTTTTTAGTACTATATGGGTCTTAATTCATCGAGAAAATTAGAAAGCAGCCAGTCGCCGGATGGACTTGACTACAATACTTCCTTAGCTTACGCTCGGCAAGTAATAATAATAATATTAATAATAAAGAAAATCAAGACAGATTTATAAACTACGTAAACAAGTACAGGTGATTAGCGTTTTACGATGTACACGATATTCCTAAAATACTTGTAAAATTGACAACAATGGGTCCAGTAGTTTTGAAAATTACTTGTCTAATAAAAATCGTCACAGACGACAGATGCACAGACAACAGACAGACGAAAGCTGGACACTTGGTGTTTCATACTCTAGGAGTCATGGAAGTAACCATTTGCCGGAGGGACTTACTACAATACTTCCTTAGTTACGTTCGAATAGTAAAAACAAGAGTCTGACAGGAATGCTAGGCAAGAAATTGTCACATAAACAAAGTCAAGAAAACTGCATATTTTTTTGCACTTTTTTGATGAATTTTGCGCACTCACCAGGTGCGTGAGGGCGAATTTTCCGCCCGCGTGCTTTTTGCTTTCCGTTGCCATAATAACCTTAATAACTTAGCCTGGAAGCGTCAACGTTGCCAGAAATTTACACCACTGTCAGCTTGGTTGTTTATAAATAACTCACAATTAATCTTTTAATTTTAAAAATTTAAAATTATGGTACACAACACGCAAATGCGGCACGACCGAAGGGAAACAAGCCTTCAATGCGGGAAACAGACTTTCCAAACTATGGCGCAATCATGGATGATGAAACATGTTGCA